ACAGACATTTCTCCAAGGAAGACATACAGATGGCTAACAAACACATGAAAAGATGCTCAACATCACTCATTATCAGAGAAATGCAAATCAAAACCACAATGAGGTACCATTTCACACGGGTCAGAATGGCTGCTATCCAGAAATATACAAACAGTAAATGCTGGAGAGGATGTGGAGAAAAGGGAACCCTCTTTCATTGTTGGTGGGAATGCAAACTAGTACAGCCACTATGGAGAACAGTGTGGAGATTCCTTAAAAAACTGGAAATAGAACTGCCATATGACCCAGCAATCCCACTGCTGGGCATACACACTGAGGAAACCAGAATTGAAAGAGACACATGTACCACAATGTTCATTGCAGCACTGTTTATAATAGCCAGGACATGGAAGCAACCTAGATGTCCATCAGCAGACGAATGGATAAGGAAGCTGTGGTACGTATACACAATGGAATATTACTCAGCTATTAAAAAGAATATATTTGAATCAGTTCTAATGAGGTGGATGAAACTGGAGCCTATTATACAGAGTGAAGTAAGTCAGAAAGAAAAACACCAATACAGTATACTAATGCATATATATGGAATTTAGAAATATGGTAATGATAACCCTATATGCGAGACAGCAAAAGAGACACAGATGTATAGAACAGTCTTTTGGACTCTGTGGGAGAAGGCGAGGGTGGGATGATCCGAGAGAATGGCATTGAAACGTGTGTATTATCATATGTGAAACAGATCGCCAGTCCAGGTTTGATGCATGAGACTGGGTGCTCAGGGCTGGTGCACTGGAATGACCCAGAGGGATGGGATTGGGAGGGAGGTGGGAGGCGGTTCATTATGGAGAACGTATGTACACCCATGACTGATTCGTGTCAATGTATGGCAAAAACAACTACAATATTGTAAAGTAATTAGCCTCCAATTAAAATAAATAAATTTTTTAAAATAAAATAAAAAAAAAGAATTACAGAGACTCCCCACATCCAAGCTATAAAATCTCTCCCTCCCAACCCACACAGTGTCACAGCTCAAAGTCTCACATCTATTCGAATGTCTCTCTCCAAAGGAACCCTCCTACACTGTTGGTAAGAATGTAAATTGGTCTAGCCAGTATGGGGAACAGTATGGGTGTTCTTCTGAAAACTAAAAAGATAGTTGCCTTATGACCCAGGAATCCCACTCTTGAGCTTATATCCAAAGAAAATCATAAGTTGAAAAGATACATGCCACCCAGTGTTTACTGCAGCACTGTCTACAATAGCCAGGACATGGAGGCAACCTAAATACCCATAGATAGAGGAGTGGGTAAAAAAGAAGTGGTACATATATATATGCAATGGTATATTACTCGTCCATAAAAATCAATGAAGTAATGCCATTTTCAGCAACATAGATGGACCTTGAAAATGTCATCCTGAGAAAGTAAGTCAGACACAGAAAGACAAATATATGGTATCACATATACATTGAATCTTTAAAATAATGGTACAAACAGACTTGTTTACAAAAGAGAAGTTGAATCACAGATCTAGAAAACAAACTTACAGTTACCTAGTAGGGAAAGGGAGTGTGATAATTTGGGGAATTTGGAGTAACATATATACACTACTATATATAAAATGAAAGTGTTAGTCACTCTGTTGTGTCCAACTCTTTGTGATCTCATGGAGTATAGCCAGCCAGGCTCCTCTGTCCATGGAAATCTCCAGACAAGAATACTGGAGTGGGTAGCCAATCCCTTCTTTAATGATTCCACCCCCCTTGTTCTTTCCATCTCACCGCCTGGAAAGACTTGAGGAGGCCCTTCTGGTCCATTTGCAAGACATTCCCCAGGAAGGGAAGAGGCCAGGGTCCAGGAGGGAGGCGGCCCCAGGAGACAGGGTGGCCCCAGAAGAGCAGGAGCCCAGTGAAGATAATGAGGAGCAGGATGGCGGAGAGAGCCATGGTCTGGGCCTGCCTTCGATCCCGCTGGCCCTCTTAAAGGTAGCTTACTCTGTTGTTTGTTATTTTGCCCTATGGGTGGGGAAGGTGTGTCAGGATCCTCCCTTGGCAGAGCTCCTGCTAACTCTCCAGGGACAAGAGGGAGCCCGAAGGACCAGGTGCTGCAGAGGCCATGATGTTTATCATGTGGATCCCAAGCAGCTTCTGATAAGCCCTTGTGGGTTGGAGCTGTCTTGGTGGGTGATTTCCTTGAACAGAGAGCATGTCCCCCAAGGAAGGGGAGTGATGTCAGCTCCAGGAACTTGTGGAGGCTGTGTTTAGAGTGTTGGCACCACAAGGGCAGCTCTCAGACAGTTTTATCAGGGAGTGGCATTGCATCATGAGAGATTGAGGTTAGCTGGCCAGCAGAAATGGGCGTCCTGTGCCCACTGGGGCTTTGGGTTTGTCTGTACATCTGTGGAGAGGGTGGTGTGGAGGAGGAGGCGGGGTCTGATGGGAGACCTAATTCCATGTGGTCTGAGATGATTCATTCATTCATTTCACATCAGGTGTTTTATTTTATTTTATCTTATCATTTTATTTTGCCCCATCATGTAACATATGGAATCTTCCTCAACTAGGGTAGGAACCCGTGCCCCCTGCAGTGGAAGTTGGGAGTTAATCACTGGACCAACAAGGAAGTCCCTTTGGCAAATATTTTAGACACCTGTCACCTGCCACATACTGCTCCAGGTATTGAGAGTAGAGTGTAGAACAATACAGTATGTTTTCCCTCAAGCAACAGGCATTGAAGGGAAGGAGAATTCAGTTCAGTAGCTCAGTCATGTCCGGCTCTTTGCCCCCATGGACTGCAGCATGCCAGGCCTCCCTGTCCATCACCAACTCCCAGAGCTTATTCAAACTCACATCCATTGAGTCAGTGATGCCATCCAACCATCTTATCCTCTGTCATTCCCTTCTCCTCCTGCCTTCAGTCTTTCCCAGCATCAGGGTCTTTCCCAATGAGCGGGTTCTTCACATCAGGTGGCCAAAGTATTGGAGCTTCAGATTCAGCATTAGTCCTTCCAATGAATATTTAGGACTGATTTCCTTTAGGATGTACTGGCTGGATCTTCTTGCTGCCTAAGGGACTCTCAAGAGTCTTCTTCAACACCACAGTTCAAAAGCATCAATTCTTCAGCACTCAGCTTTCCTTATAGTCCAACTCTCACATCCATCCATGACTACTGGAAAAACCATAGCTTTGAGTAGATGGACATTTGTTGGCAAAGTAATGTCTTTGCTTTTTAATATGCTGTCTAGGTTGGTCATAACTTTCCTTCCAAGGAGTGAGCGTCTTTTAATTTCATGGCTGCAGTCACCATCTGCAGTGATTTTGGAGGCCCCCCCCCAAATAAAGTCTCTCACTGTTTTCATTGTTTCCCCATCTATTCGCCGTGAAGTGATGGAACCAGATGGCATGATGCTAGTTTTCTGAATGTTGATTTTTAAGCCAGTTTTTTTCACTCTTCTCATTCACTTTCATCAAGAGGCTCTTTAGTTCCTAATTGCTTTCTGCCATAAGGGTGGTGTTATCTGCATATCTGAGGTTATTGATATTTCTCTTGGCAATCTTGATTTCAGCTTGTGCTTCATCCAGCCCAGCATTTTGCATGATGGTCAGGAAGCAACATTTAGAACTGGACATGGAACAACAGACTGGTTCCAAATAGGAAAAGGAGTATGTCAAGGCTGTATATTGTCACCCTGCTTGTTTAACTTATATGCAGAGTACATCATGAGAAACGCTGGGCTGGAAGAAGCACAAGCTGGAATCAAGATT